TTTCGACAAAAGTCGAAGGCTCGACAAAAACCAAAAAGTGAAAAAGTATATTTTAACAAAATGCATTTGACTAGCAGGTCGAACAATGGATGTTCTTAAACCCTTCTGACTGCCATGGCGATTGCCAAATGTATATAATATATATCTAAATGAAATATATAATTTCTAATACAACAACATACTTAATACTCACTCTATAGATAACAAGAACCATTCTGGTGAGCTAATAAAAATGCAATAATCATAATATGCTTACAAAACCTATGTCATATAACTTTTCCATAGAATACTAGTGTTTGAAACATGGTTTAAATTAAAAAGGAAAAAAATAATGATTTTATTTTATTTCAACCTTTCTACTGACATACTTTTCTTTTTTCTCTCTCTGCCATTGGTGTAGATGGAAATTTTTCATCCTGAAAATGCAGGAAATATTTACCACTGGATATTCAGCAAAACAACACTCATTCAATCTACTGTGGATTCATTAATATTCGTGGGATACCAATTTTCGTGGACTTCGTTGTTACAGGTGATCCACGAAATTAAATGTTAAACGAATTACAAATTTCCTATAGCCATGTATGCAGACTTTTGCAAAACCACGAAATCAAATATCTGTAAAAATGCAAGAATTCCTGAATCCACGAAAATTGGTACCCACGAAAATAAATGAATCCACAGTATGTTATCGGAAATATTTTTAATTGAAATAAATATTGCACAAGGATTAAATTCTTATTGCAAAAAGTTAATATAAAGTGACAATGACAAATTTGTTTAAGTTCCGTTGAGCATTTACAGTATATATAATTGAATGAAACAAAAAATAATCTACCTGCCATATAAAAGCACAATGTTCTATTGAATGCCCTCATAACATAAACTAAAACCTACCATTAATCTGATTTTTAACAAACATGGATTTTGAAAAGGATCATCTTTTAGCAGTAATTTTTTTTCTCATTTGGTCCCATTATAGCTCTAAAATAGTTAATGCTTCCAAAATTTAATGGTGCAGATAGGAATTTTTTATTTGCGAGACAAAATGCATTCAAATTGGAGTAAAAATTAAAAAAAAGTTGAAATTTTTTGGGGAATAATCCTGAACTTGATCCAATAAATCTTAAGTAATCAATTGCCATAATATACATACAAATTAAGATAGAGAACAGAAAGTAACAAGAGGCTGTCAGAGTGACAGCAAACCAGATTTTCCTGCAGAGGTTGAACCCTGAACAGTTGAGCAAGTATGGACACAACATTTAAGCTTAAAATAGCTCTGAATTTTGATTGCGATTGAATATTTGACACAGCATAGGTTTGTGACACAAATTGAATGTGGTCAAAGAACTGAAAAATTTGAAATCAGAAATTTACATATTATGGTCCAATATCCAAAATCTAATAACATTGTTATCATTAGCATATCAAAGAACCCCAAGAATTCAATTTTTGAATTGTTGATGAAATATAAACAAAAGTTTAATTTAGGATCCTTTGGACTTCAATGGGGTATTACATTGTATCTAATTTATAATGAAAATAAATACAGGTTTAGATTCAGCTTTTCAAAGAACACTATATATATTCAATTTATGTTGAAATCAAACACAGTATAATTTTGGACCCCGATTTGGACCAACTTGAATACAGGGCCCAAAATCAGAAATCTAAATATATGTTTATTAATAGACATACTAAGCTTAGTTTTTAAAGGAGTTTGCTTCATCAAAAAAATATATATATAGCATTCAGAAAATAAGTTTATACAGAATAACAAACAAACCAACCACAAAATTCTTCAAACAATTTACAAAAGAAAAGATGAAAAAAAAAAATCCAAAATGTCATTTATCATTAATACAATATCTATTAAAAATCTAAAAAACTTATCTGTAATTATCTTCAAAATGTCTAATAATGAACAGTAAATTTCAAACATTATTTATTTCTAAAAAGTGGAAAACTCAAAAATGAGAGAAGCTAAAATCGTGAAAATTGAACTTGACCTTCATTTAGTCACAGGAAACAACATATCAAAACTTTAAAAAAATTCATCAAAGTGTTTGCATGTTAATGAACGGAACTGTTTGGCATGCGGCCCACCTGCCTGTCGTACATCCCCAAATCAATAAACGATTTTTTTCTTCGAAAATCTGGTTAAAAACTGCAACAAAATCGGACGAAAAAAAAAAAAAAAAAAAGGTGTATAATGAATCTTATGAGAAATTTTTTTTTAGCCCCTACTGATTATTTTTTCCAGAAAAGGGATGAAATACTATCCTTTGTTTCGTGGCAAGTACATACACTATGTGAAATTGGTCTATTGTGAATAAAAAAATCATTAGTCTACAGACAAATGCTGATGTTGACACTTTTAGGGACAAAAGACCTAAACAATAATACAACCTCAACTAGACAAATATTTGGGATAAGAAATCTTAAATTCTTAATTACATGGTAAAGATTAAATGATTACAATATTTGACCCAATGGTTCCTGTACAACTGGAGACAATATTTACAAAAGTCTATTAATGCTATGGTTTGCTTCTGTTTTGAGTTGTGCCTACATCTAAATATCAATGATACCAAAACATAAAAGAAAAAACAAATTGTGGCTAATGGTTTTAAAGTCAAGATATTGTGTTTTTATTTGTTAAAGGATCTTTAGTTCAGCTTAAATGTGGCCATCTTTCCAAATGTGAAACTCTTATAGTTGACTCATGTTTACCAGGCATTTAGTTTATAGGTGTAATACCACCATTGATTTTCCCCTATTAGTCTTTGTTAAATTTGCACTTTTCAAAAAATTGTGCAGAATTTATCTTTGTTTCAAATAAAGAAATACTTGGCATGAGTAAAGTTTTATCCTGTCCAGTACTATAGAAAAAATTTCACATAACATTTCATTGCATATAAGAAAATAACCATCACTGGAAGTTAACCAATCAAATTTTCCCCCTTTTTTAACCTGTGTACAAGCTTTAGTAACCATGTAACCTCAAGTTTCCAAAATATTCTATAGAAACCCCAAATAAAGAAATAATGGTGCTTTGAAATACCCAAGATATATGTTTATGACTCAGAAATGTTTTACTGCAATGAAATGTAGGATCAATTACCTACAACTGTCAAATTCAAGGGAATATTTTTTTTTCGACCTATTTTCGTATGCAACCGGATGTGACGTACTATGATTTGGTGGTATTACACCTAAAGAAGACTTTTTTGTTGAATAAACTGAATGTGACTTTTTTCCTTTGTAATACTGGTTATTTCAAGCATTCCTGTCAAGTTTTGTCATAATCAGTTCAATAGTTTGAGAAAAATCTAGTATAATGTAAGACGACATCTACAGCGATTCGAGCAAAATTTCTTCGAAAAATTCAAACCAAGCCGCATCATGATAGAATATAGTGTGGACCAATAAATGATCAAATATTTATCTCATCTGCCTACAAACAGTTGAATATGATACAAAAGATGACTTTAGGATGATAAATACTACTAATGGACCTCTTATTCTTCCTTATAAAGTCTCTTTTGGTCCATTTATACCTCTCATTTCCTCAAAATTTCTACTTTTTAGGCCAATAAATAAAAATTTTGGGGTAACTTTCACTCATTTATGATAGAAATGTTATTATAAATGATTAATTGAAGTATTCAAGCTGCTTGAACTATCCGTATAAAAGTTTACTGTCTCCAAGGAGGTTTCAATAAGTCCTTGCGTAAAACTTAAATTTACGCCGCGTTCCAGAGAGGGACATAAAAAACTTCTCTTTTGGTGAATAATTTGTTGTTACTGCTTTAAAAATAATTTCATTTACTTAAAACTATATATTTATTAAAGTATTTCTTAGGAAAAATTTTCTAGTATAGCAGAATATAAGAAATAAGGAGAAAAAGCTCCCCAAGACTCTAAGTATGGCTTGTTCTGTCAACTAATATTCATGGTAAAGTCCTATTTCAAGGAAATTTTCTCATAAAATGTATTTTGGAGACTCAATCCACTCAGAATATTTCATTATTTGTAATATTTCACTTAAATAGCAAGAAATTTTAACACATGAGAGTACTCACAAGGTCAAAGGTGCATGTACAGCTTCCCATATTAGGTGTAATACCACCATTGATTTTCCCCTATTAGTCTTTGTTAAATTTGCACTTTTCAAAAAATTGTGCAGAATTTATCTTTGTTTCAAATAAAGAAATACTTGGCATGAGTAAAGTTTTATCCTGTCCAGTACTATAGAAAAAATTTCACATAACATTTCATTGCATATAAGAAAATAACCATCACTGGAAGTTAACCAATCAAATTTTCCCCCTTTTTTAACCTGTGTACAAGCTTTAGTAACCATGTAACCTCAAGTTTCCAAAATATTCTATAGAAACCCCAAATAAAGAAATAATGGTGCTTTGAAATACCCAAGATATATGTTTATGACTCAGAAATGTTTTACTGCAATGAAATGTAGGATCAATTACCTACAACTGTCAAATTCAAGGGAATATTTTTTTTCGACCTATTTTCGTATGCAACCGGATGTGACGTACTATGATTTGGTGGTATTACACCTATAGAGATAATCATGTTTCTAAAATGCTTTCTGAAGGAGATAATTTCGATTTTCATAATGATAATAAATTCATTATTTAAAGAGGGTAAATCAATTAGAAAAAAACTGTCTAATTTTCATTCATGTCATCAAACAATTATGTGCATACAGTATACATTCAACAGGAAAAATACAACATACACATATAAAATCATTCATACATTAAAATAACTACAAAATGAAACATTACATTTCTAACCAAAAAATTGTAACATTACTGTGGATTCATTTATTTTCGTGGGTACCAATTTTCGTTGATTTAGGAAAACTTACATGTTCGTGGATATTTCATTTCGTGGTTTTGCCGAAGTCTGCATACAAGCCTATAGAAAATTTGTTATTCGTTGAACATTTAATTTCGTGGTTCACCTGTACCCATGAAATCAACGAAAATTGGTATCCAACGAATAATAATGAATCCACAGTATTAGATTTTATAACGTCTTGCATAATATTTCTAAGAAAATGTTTGTAACAAACCAGTTGTTTATATTGTGAATGGTAAATTATTCCATACCTTGATTACGGAATAATGAAAAGTTTCCTTATATAAATCAGTATCCTCTATTTTCATTGTGAAATGTTGTTGTAGGATAAAGTTCACAGTACAATGTCTACTGTGAAGATGGCAAAAAATTAGACACACAAAAAAAAATCCTGACATACAGTATTTTGTGAATTTTCTTTTCTGTTTGGTAGATATTTTAACAGATTTCAGAAAAACTCAAAAAAGAAATAAACACAACTACAGTCTAATGACATAATTTACGACATTGCACCATCAAAATATTCAGTTTTTCTAAGATTCGATCTTTATCATGATGTCTTGGTTGTTTTCACGGCGTCGTAAAAATTTGAAGTAGATAGGTCTTTTGAGTGTACTAATTTTGGAGTGTCAACAAATTCAGAGCCAAATATATAAATGGCTGCCAAAGACAAGAAACTAGCTGTTCCCCAAAACAAAATGTACATCAACTGGGTGCTGATATTCTCTGAAAGAAAAAGAACATGAAAATGCTTATATACATTCAGTTTACTAGATAACAAAAATACAAATAATTTAACATATACATTAAAAGTGAGACAACTATACATTTAAATCATACTTGCAAATAGATAAGAAATCGAACAAGAAGCACACCTGTGCCTGTATCGCTCACCTTGTGAGAACAATCACCAGTTTGCTAATTCTGACTTTCATATATGCATATACTATAGTAACTCTTTGTCTTGCTTATCATTTTTACAATTTACATGTTTAACCTAGCTCCTATATTTTTCGAGATAACAGCCAAAACTGCAAAATAAACAGTAAAATCAACATTTCAGGGACAATAACTCCAAAAACAGGTTGTCAAATTTCTAGATAAGATAGATCTTGTCATGCTGATCATTTTGCAGTTTACAGTTTTAACCTAGCTCCTATAGTTTTTTACAATGTCAGCAAAAAAAAAATGTAAAGAATTGGAAAAATGTATATTTCAGGGGCAATAACTCAAAAACAGTTAACAGATGTTGTCGAGTTGATCATGTTTACAATTAACACTTTTAACCTAGCTCCTAAATTTTTCATCATTACATCCAAAAACTGCAAAATATGCAGGGGCAATAACTCCCAAACAATGTTACTCCTATTTTTAGGGATGATACATCTTGTCATACTGATTGTTTTTTGCAATTTACAATTTTAACAGTTGCTATAGTTTTCAACATAACAGCCAACAACTGCTAAAAATTGGAAGAAAAAGATATTTCAGTGGCAATAAATCCTAAATGAGAGGTTAGATTTTTCTCTAATTTTCAGGGTAGATACATCTTGTCATGCTGATCATTTTTGCAATTTTAACTTTTAATCTAGCTCCTATAGTTTTTGAAACAATGACATGGAAATGCAGAAAAGTTTAAAATCAACATTTCAGAGGCAATAACTCCAAAACAGGTGGACAATTTTTTCCAATATTTTCAGGGTTGATAGACTTTAATTCTTAATTAGTTAATCTTTTCTTTCAATGATTTTAAATAAAGTAGAAAATGCTAGGAACTATATTTTTTCTGTGTGTTTTCACTTCCTTTTGATTTAATGTCATTAACAACACCTTTTGTTGTATGTGATCAAAGGAGTAAATTAAAGAATTTCTATAACACCTGAAATTATTCTTGTTATTTGACTGGAAAATCACGATATTTCATTGCGCCCAATGTAATAATTCTTAATCATTTTATATATCACTGCAGTTTAATTGACACTTATGACTAAAACTTACCATCTGGTATTAGTATGCAAATTAAACACATGGCTGTGGCTATTACAAATATAACAGGAATCTAAAAATAGAACACATCAATCATCTAAAGGGCTTCAATTATACAATTCCTTTAATGATACTATCTGTACATTGCAGGTTCTTTCAAATAATAGATCAAATTCTAGGCATGTATTTATTTATTCATGATTGAACTTTTTTTACACAAATTAAACAATAAACATAAACAAGAATGTGTCCATAGTACACAGATGCCCCACTCGCACTATCATTTTCTATGTTTAGTGGACCCTGAAATTGGGGTCAAAACTCTAATTTAACATTGAAATTAGAAAGATCATATCATAGGGCACATGTGTACTAAGTTTCAAGTTGATTGGACTTCAACTTCATCAAAAACTACCTTGACCAAAAACTTTTAACCTGAAAAACTTTAACCTCAAGCGGGACAGACGGACTGACGAATGAACGGACGCACAGACCAAACAAGTGAAACTGTGAGCTCCTGCTCACTGATGATACTCCCGCCCAAAAATTTCGGTAAACAGGAAGTTGTTGAGTGATGAATCTGAATACGCATCACACGGTATAGATGACTTATATAAACCCTGAAACCAAATTTCAGAAATCCTTGTATTGTAGTTGCTGAGAAAAATGTGACGAAAATTTTCAACTTGGCTATCATGTGTAAAATGATACAAGTGTTTGGTAAACAGGAAGTTGTTGAGTGATGTATCTGAAAACGCATCACACAGTATAGCTGACTTATATAAACCCTGAAACCAAATTTCAGAAATCTTTGTAATGCAGTTCCTGAGGAAGATGCGACGAAAATATTCATGGGACAGACAGACGGACTGACGGATGGACTGACAGATGGACTGATGAATGGACAGACAGAGGTAAAACAGTATACCCCCACTTTTTTTAAAGCGGGGGTATAAAAACATAATGCCCCTAGGTGGGGCATAAAGAAGAAAAGGGGCTTTAAAAACATGAGCATAAACTTTTAACTGATTTTTTTGACTGCTCTTAAAATTTCTAGAAAATGTCAAAAGTAAATCAAATACACTCTGGGATATTTTGAAGTAATATGGGGTAAGGGCTGTTCCAGATTTAAAGACATGGGTGATGGTAGGCACTCAAATTAATAAATTTTGGGTGGTTGCATTTTCTTCAGAATTTAGTAAGAATTATCAGTAAAACAAAAATATTATGTTATGGGTTGTTTGGGGACTAAAAAGAGTGCCTTCCATCCCCCATGTGTTTAAATCTGAAACACCCCTTATGAATTTTTTTAAGATAAAAGTTAGTGTACAATCTTACAGCATAGAATTTCCAATCTCTCTCTGACTGTAAAGGTGATGGTCTCACAACACCTTCATTCTCTTCTACTATATAATTTCCAAGAAACAAATCCATGGAGTCCTGTTAAAAAAATGCAAAATGCAGTTTATTGGATTTTATAAGCTTCCTGTACTTTCTTTTCAAATTCAAAAACCAGTGATAAACAATAATTTTACTTTCCATTGACAAAATAACTATAAAACTGAACCAGTAATAAATAATAATTTTACTTTTCATACTGAAAAAATAACTATAAAACTGAACCAGTAATAAACAATACTTTTACTTTCCATACAGACAAAATAACTATAAAACTGTGCATGTGGTAAAACAAGAGCTACAATTGCTATTGATGCCAAGCAGTATGGAAAAATAGACAGAAGAGTCTTGAATTATGCTTTAGTAACATATTTTAAAAATTCATGTGTTTCTAATTTTCGCCATGTTTGTGGTAGGCTTTTTTCCCCTGGAAATATACCCTACCCAAACATTTTACTATTCGTATTAATATATCTTAAAAGCATTGTGAAACATGAACATAAAGAAGATTTAACTGTCCTCTTTTTAGGCCAAAACTGAAACAAAACCTGACACGAAAATATCCTTTTAAACAGTATGATTACTGGACTTGAAAACTCATGCAATATGATTTTCTGCTAAAGACAACATTCCTTATACTACTGCAATAGACATATAATAACCTATTAAATTAGCAATTAATCTTAAGAAATAACATTTTTACAAATAATGCCATGATTGACATATTCTGTGATGTTGATTTTCAATTTTCAATTTAAATTTGTAACAAAAATAATTCTTAGAATGTGAAATACTTGTGTGCTTGTCTAATATTTTGGTGTCTTGAAAAGACCTTGGTTTATGGTTTATTAGTTGCTACTTTTGTGGTTTCATACTTCATATAGAATGCAGGGCTCACACTACTTCAGAATCATAGGGAGAAGTGACTTCTCTTTTTGAAAATGAGAGGGAGAAGTGGTGAGATTTGAGAGAGAAGTGCTCATTCGATCGCGGCGCTACAATGTTTGGTTTTTCTATAATACAAAGGGCCATATGTATCTTATTTTTTTATATTGCTCAATTTGTACCTGGGAGTACAATAAAAGTAACAGTTCAAATTCAAAGTTGTTTAATTTTATCATATCTAGATGCACAATCATATTAGTCCTCTTGTCAGAAAAAAAAAACAGTTTAATATCTAGCAATAATAAAAAAGATTTTTTTTATATCAAAAAGGAAAAGAAAGTTGTTATTTCAATTTAAAATATACTCTGTTATGTTTGTGAAATTCAGTGGTTAAAATTCTCATTTAAAAGATATATAAATTTAACACAGTTAAGCTTGGACATAGTATAGTAGTCCCAGAGTTGAGCAATTTTAATTAATAAATTGAAACAATTCATATACATGGAAATATATACATTAATCATGTAGATCTAACCAAAAGTATGTTAATGCGCATGGAATGCGTAATTTTTCCTTTTGGGATCAATATTCCTCTGTCAGCTGTGCCATTTATTCTTCAGTAGTCATTATCGTAAGAATCCGGATTTCGGTCATAGCTGGTCCGGTTCCGATTGGTAGTTTAGTACAAATACTTCAATGGCGGACGAAAAAGAAAAATTTACAAAAATAAACGATGTTTGACACGCTATTTGGAAAGAATATGACGTTTTTAATGCAATACATGGATAAAAAATTTACTTCAGGCAAATTTCATCACGTTCTAATGAAGTAACGAACTTATTTTGCCGAAAATTAGAATGATTTGATGTACGCTCTCTAACAAGTACCGGAATTCTCACTATACAAATCCTTGCCGGAAGTGATAAAAAATTGTTTTTATGAAATAACATGCAACCAACTTTAAAATCAATGCTTTAACCTCTTTTCTGAAGAAAATAAATCATTTATGTCTTTGAATTTCTTTACTTTTTACTGAAAAATTGCTGTTTCTTCGACTTGGTAAAAATTGAATATTGTCGATGACGAAAGCGACTGAAAGCGAGTATCGTAAAGCACAGGGCGACTAGTTTTCGCTTTTGAGGGTCGGGCAAAGCGAATTGACGGACGGGAAAGCGACATCTTCGCCCTAGTCGCCTGGTAGCGTGAGCCCTGTAGAATGTATGGAATTAATCAATGAAAATTGTGTATTTTCACAGATAACAAAATTGTGGTTTTAATTTTTAAATTGTACTCCTCAATCATATTTTCACAGTAATGACAACAACATTCAATAGATTGATTCTTTTCTCTTGATGTATGTTTTTGTTCAATATGATGTAAGTGCCTAGACTGATAAAATTCCATAAAACTGTACAATGTCATGAAATTGACAGCAGAATAAAAGAAAACTTATCCAATAAATAATGCCTTGTAGACAGGACTTTTACCTACAGTTACAACCTCTTGTTCATCATATTAACTTGTTTTTTAATGTTTATGTACTCCTTACAAAGTAAGAATATATCAGTAATAAAAGATATGAGCTGGCAAATTCAAATGCACCTTGTTCTGCATTTGTCATTAATATTTTAATACAATTCAAACTAACCTGTCTAAAGCCATCGCTGAAGTTGTTTTTGAAGTATCTTATCAACGAATTCCAACCATCCATTAACAACCCATATTTTGTTCTTTTTCCTTGTCTGAAAGTGTAGAAAAATGTTTCAAAGTCATATTGATTTTAAGCTTCAAATAGAAACACTGGCTTATGTAGTGTCTCAACATTGCTTTGTTTTCAAATTTTCTTGCTTTCAAATACATCTTCATTAAATCACTTCAGCACTCCTCTAGTTTTTATCTAGTTATCTTTTCTTGTAATACTTGTCTTCAGAGCACCTGTCCCTGCATACCTTACCTTGTAATATCTGGCTTCAGAGCACCTGTCCCTGCATATCTTACCTTGTAATACTTGTCTTCAGAGCACCTGTCCCTGCATATCTTACCTTGTAATATCTGGCTTCAGAGCACCTATCCCTGCATACCTTACCTTGTAATATCTGTCTTCAGGGCACCTGTCCCTGCATACCTTACCTTGTAATATCTGTCTTCAGAGCACCTGTCCCTGCATTCCTTACCTTGTAATATTTGTCTTCAGAGCACCTGTCCCTGCATATCTTACCTTGTAATATCTGTCTTCAGAACACCTGTCCCTGCATACCTTACCTTGTAATATCTGTCTTCAGAGCACCTGTCCCTGCATATTGTTTTGACATGACATCTGCATTATCTGCCCAATCTGAAAAATTAGAATTAGTGAACTGTTAATATGGTATGATTGCCAATGAGACAACTATCCACCAGACCAAATGATGTGGATGTATGCAACTATTGGTCACTGTACTTCAACATTGAGATAACAATATACAACAGTTTTCTTTAAGCACTATCTTTTAGATGATACAGTACAATTTGGATTAATTGAAATCATTATGAATTAAAGGAGATGAGGCTTTATGTAGTGAATGAGACAGCAACCCAACCACACAAAGAAAATAAGACATCTAGGGGTCACCAGAGTACCAGTCACAAACTCAGTAGTGTGGTCATTTTAATATCAACTACCAGCCTTTTTGAAAACAAATTTTCAAGAAATTCTACATTCAGTAAGAAATTTACAGAAAAGACTATGGTCATCACAGGATGTTTCAGGTCTTTTTTATTGTCAAATTATTTCTACATTAAGTAACATTTGCAGTCATGATAGAAGGCATTTGCAGTCATGATTCACAATTCTGAATGAGAATCACTTCACAATTGGTCATTCACACGAATTTTCAGAATTTTTTAATTGAATTTTGTGTCAAATTTTCTTATCCTAGAATAAATGTTTATTTATGATCTTCTTTCAGAACATGACTGCTACTATTACTAGAATTATAACATTTGACAAAAAAAATCAATTGTTTTTACCCTGATTTATCATCCATATAGACTAATAATTTAATTTTGGATGAAACGCGTCTTCTGATTGGCTGACGTTGTTTTGTTTATCAGCTCATAGACATAATTTTGTCATGTGACTGTGACGTCATCAACGTTTTTTCATGGTTAACTCCGGTTTAAAATGGAATTTAGAATTAAATTATAAGAAATGACTGTAATATTTTTTCTGTCAATTCGAAATAACATTAAAAATGTGGTGCACACTGAATAACCCGTGTAGTATTTCTGATGTTATTTCTTCATGGTATTTCAAAAGTGTTATCGTAATAAAATAGTAACACACTCACCATTGTTGTAGGTGTAGTTAAATGTTTTACAGTCTTTAATTTGTTGTCCTTGATCCAGTATACCTAATTTCTGTAAGAGGAAAAAAATACATAATTGTTAACACACTTTTGCCGTAGTCTAGTTTTCTATTTGTAATATTTGAATACAGAATTTAACATACTATTTTATCCTGCTACCTACAAAAAACCAAATTTTGGTGTTACACAAGATCAGACATGTCTTGGACTATTAATGATGTTAATGGTACTTTCAAACTCAATCAAGTGGGGAGTGTACTAATCAAAATGCTATTCGGTGTGAGCCAAGGCTCCGTGTTGAAGACCGTACTTTGACCTATATTGAAATTGACAATGGAATTGGGGAATGTGTCAAATAGACAACAACCCGACCATAGAGCAGACAACAGCCTAAGGTTTACTTTTATAAATTTTTACTTGGATGGAGAGTTGTCTCATTGGCACTCATACCACATCTTCTTATATCTAATAAGGACAATGTGATTAACTGAACATGGATTTTGAACTTTCAGTATAAACTGGATGTACTAATGTGTTTATTAATTTCTTCAGATGTTGTTGATGATGAGTTCAGATTTTTTCAATTGACTTTTATAGTGTACTGGTTCCCTGTTACACTACAGTTTCAGGTTAAGAGATGGTTGCACATTCACAAACATGCTTAGATGAACCACAGACTTCATAAGGCTATCTAATATCAGCAACCATTAGTCCACTGGTTGTATTTTAAATAAGGTTGCTGGTTGTCACTTAAATATTTCATACATATTTACATGGTAAGGATCTCTGATACATTTAGTAGCTTATGGATGTTTATATATTTACAACTTCACTGATCTTTGGTTGATAGTTACTACATTGGCAATCGTACTGTACCTTCTTCTTTTATACTGAATGTCTAAATTAGTGATGGGGATTGAAAAAACTCTTCAAATGGTTTTTGTACAAAAGAAGTCATCTTCAGTAATCACTAGCCTATCAACACTGTGGTTGCGAATTAGAACCTCTCTCGTGGTACGGTGCATTTGACTCTGATCTTAATTGACAAGGATTATAAGTTTTCCTGCTGAAAGTCTATGGTTCTTGCAGGCATTCCTGCTTCCTCCACCAATAAAAATTGGTTGCCCTGATAAATCGAAGTGCGCTAAAAATGGCATTTAACACAATCAATCAATGAATCAAACATTTCATAAAGGGCCATCAGTTTCTAGTGTAATGATAGTGTATGTGCAATCATATTAAAGGGGCACTAGCTACGAGATATATACCGTAGAAAGGCTTGTATAGTCCGCGGTTTTATTCTCCAAAATTGGACCTTCCAGACGGGGTGCGGACTATAGAGTACAATAAGCAAGAAATAAGAGAAAAATTTCAATTTCGCGGGCGAGGTGGTTTGATTACGTTCCGCCATCTTTGTTATTTATAATGTAGAGGGCGCTCTTATCATTTTTCAAACTAATAATTTTAACTCATCCATATTAATAAGTTATTTCTATTCAATATCAAATTAATACTGATAAATATAAAAACTAAACCTTTCATTACAAATTTCTCGTTTCTTTTCAATGCATTGGTTGAAATAAACTGGTATCTGCTTGATTGAAACGATACAAACATAGTGAAAAAGGCAACCGTAAACCAGCTTAGAATTTGTAAACTACAAAACGTAATCGGTTATTGTTCGTTCCGTTTTGGTGTTTCATACTGACTAATATGGTTTGTATTAGCTTAAGACCCTTCAAACATTAATGTGATAGATATATTAAAGACTGTTTTACAAAAGGATGGAACTGTTTTACTTTCAAAGTCGTATTATAGTGATATCTGTTATGTATGGATTTCGACTCTCACCGGTTAATTTCTACTTTTACACGTGCTTTTTTAACTTCCTGTTTAAACATACACAAGTTTCTAAATTGTTTTTTAAGTGAATTAAACTTATTTTAACAATCATGAAGCGTTCTAGAATCATTTACAAGCAGTTTCAGCTTCTGTTTGATGATGGAAAACAGGTTTTTCCAAGAAAATACCGCAAACGACTGCACAGGATTTGAAATTACCGGAGTTTCATTAGACCTTATCTAACAGTTACAAAAAGTTTTTTTACCTAAAAATTCGTGGGGAGAAGAGGGTGCGGACTATGTACCAGTGCGAACTATACAAGCCTTTCTACGGTAAAAGAAACTAAAATATGATTTTTTTTTTTCAATCCTTAATGAAAGTGAAATAGTGAAATAATAATTAGCTTTTATGGTTCAATTTTGTCAAAATAAGCTATGAAACATTGATGATGAATTATTCACTTGCAAGTGAATAATTCGACCTCATTCAATCCGTATTAATGTGAACTTAAATTTAACCCCTTAGCTAGAAATGGATAATGCATGCATTGTGCGTGTTGAGTTATTTAAAGGAAAAGAATGTCAACATTGAAAGTGAAACTAAGGTAAATCATTTGATTGACTGATTCGATCCACAAAAAATCATTCTTATACAGGTAAAAACGATGATTAACATATATTTTTAATCTATAATATGAAATTAAACAGACCTATAAAAATCCAATTGCACGAGTTTCGATATCTATTTATATCTATATTTATGTTTATAACGCTTATATGACCACCTGAGGTTTCCGGAGGTCAACTCGATAGTTAATTAGATGGCGTCTAGACTAAAATATACACGAAACGAAGCTACATATTATCAAGCCCATGCCCTGTAAATTGTTTATTTTAGACTTTTTATAATTTGGATAAATGTTTTACATTGTTATAAATCAAATATGAGAATTTGAGTCAAATCGGTGAACATGAATTTGACAGCTAGTGCCCCTTTAAAGTAATCAAATGTGGAAGTATACAGGGTAAGTCAACTTTACTACTGAAAGCCTTCAGCTATAACATCTATCACTTACTGTTAACTGATTTTGTAAAACAACTTTGGCAATCAAACTCTGAACAACATTGGTCCTATCTAAACAATCAATACAATTGGTCCTAAAGATCCCCACTTGTTGTGACAACACTGTACCATCTTTTTGCATCATAAAATAACTGAAATAACATATATTCTTAATAATTAACATAACTATGTATTTTCTTTATTCCTTCAACTACAAAGAGTAATCATAGCAAAAATTGTCATTGTCATTAAATTGTTTAGTCTGAAGGCTGTAAACAGGTGAAAAGCAGGCCAATCTGAACAAAATTGTTTGGGAACATAAATTATAGAATAAATCAGTTACATATTTAAAAGGCCTGATAAAATGTTATTGTATAATACCCATGATACCATGAGGGTCTGTTAAGATGTTTCTTTGGTGTAATTGTTTTTAGGGATTTCTCTTTAAGAATTTGTGTTATATTAATTCACTACTTTCATAGAAGGTATTCAAAAAAGCAGATGCTAGATACCAAAGGAGGAAAAAAGTTCAGATTAGCCCTTTTTGTCGAGCCTTCGACTTTAGTCGAAAAAGCGAGACATAGCGATCCTACATTCCGTCGGCGGTGTCGGCGTCCACAAATATTCACTCTGTGGTTAAAGTTTTTGAGACTTTAATAACTTTCTTAAACTATCCTGGATTTCTACCAAACTTGGACAGAGGCTTGTTTATGATCATAAGATAGTATCCAGAAGTAAATTTTGTAAAAATAAAATTCCATTTTTTCCGTATTTTACTTATAAATGGACTTAGTTTTTCTGCCGGCAATTTACATTCACTCTGTGGTTAAAGTTTTTAAAATTTTAATAACTTTCTTAAACTATCCTGGGTTTGTACCAAACTTGGACAGAAGCTTGTTTATGATCATAAGATAGTATCTAGAAGTAAATTTTGTAAAAAAATAAATCCATTTTTTCCTTATTTTACTTTTAAATGGACTTGTATTTTCTGCTGGGAAACAACATATTCACTCTGTGGTTAAAGTTTTTAAAATTTGAATAACTTTCTTATACTATTTTGGATTTGTACCAAACTTGGACAGAAGCTTGTTTATGATCAAATGCTAGTATCTAGAAGGAAATTTTGTTTTTTTCCAGTTAACATTACATTTAGTCTACAGTTAAAGATTTTAAACATTTATTAGATTCTTAAACTATCCTGGATTTTTACCAAACTTGGACAGAAGCTTCTTACAATCAAAAGATAGTATCAAGAGGTATATTTTTATTGATTTACTTCCTCGTTTTTGTTGAGCCTGCGATTAACAGAAAAAGTAGGCGAGACACTGGATTCCGCGGAACCCTTACAAATTTTTTATCAGTTGAGCTGAATATCTTGTGTCAACCCCCACAAAAACAAAAAATATTTCACAATTTTTTTTGGAAAAGTCAAAATTATAAGGCTGACCCCTTATAGTCTTCTCATAGTATAAAACTGAATAAAACATGCTCCTAAAAGTAAGGATTCTCACAAGAAATTATAATTATAATTTCAAGCCACAGTGATGTAAAATGAATGTTCATAATTTGTATAAATATTAATACCATTTTTTTTTATCCATGGGGCTTTTGTTTAGCATGGGCCACATATCCTTTAAACTTACTTTTGTCTTCTAATGTCATCCTCTAATCTTTCCATTAATATAGATAATCTATCCCAACGTAATCCTGTGTTTCCACATTCATGGTGAAAATCAAAATATTCATATCTGAAATAATGTAGTGTAAACATTAACACTAGAGGCATGTTCAATCATTTCTTTGTCACAGACATGTTGAGAAGATTTTACTCACCAATCAGCAAAAGATTTTTTTTAAACGAGTCAGTGTAAAAACCAAATTATCTCTTGTGTGTCCGCCACTTCTTATTATCTATGTAGTATAAAAAGAAACAGAATATCCTGAAATTTGGTGTAAAAAGTTCTTTGTCATTTTTTAATAAGAAATCAAATAATAATATGTACATTGTACTATACAATTATAGCCTTTGCATGAGGTCGATATGAAATTATATCAACCTTAGAGAAGCAAATTGACTGAGGATGAAGTCTGAGGTCGATATGCTTCTCTAGGTCGATATAACATCGTATTGACCTCAACCAAAGGCTATAATTGTTATATTATTAATCAACAACTATTGCATGAACAATGTAAAATTGGGGAATTCTAGAATGTATCTTTAGTAACATGCTGCTTTTGACCTATGAAAAGATAAACACAACAGTATAGGTATGCACACTGAGTAAATACAAATGTACATGTGATCAAGTTTTAACGAATCACAAATCCTTAAAAATATTTGATTAATAGTATTATGATATATAGCAGATGTCACTGCATTACATATATAAAAGCTTGAATTGCATCGTTTTCAGATTCAACCCTAAAACAATTAATTTTTGGTCAATATTTATTAATTCAATATGAATACCTTTGGTCACTTATAAAAAATTACCTACCTCATTTTCTTATTTTGAGAATTTGTTATAAATTGAGAAAAAGATTTTTCTAAAAGTCCCTCTGATCCTGCCTGGTTTACCTGAAATATACAATTAGACAAATCTTAGGATTGTTCAATAAAAAATAATATATCATACCTACAGAAGGCATTTTGAAAAATGGTACCCATCCAGCACAGAGAAATTTTACATTTTCATAACCTTATTGTTAGGCATTCACCCTTTGACATTAATGTCAAAAGACAATCAAAAGGTCACATTTACATTGAACTGGAAAAGCCCATACAATAACTCTGTTTTACTCTGATTATAAAGATTAGTTCTCTTCTAACTGTGAGAAATATTTATCATGAAATTTTAGGTTATGTACTTCAAGTAGTGTATTTAAAAGCTATTTCAAATCATATATTTTACAACATCAGACTGCAAGAAATATTTGCTGTACTTAGTGAAAATTTTGTATCCAAATTATAAGATCAGCACCAAAAAATACAGTATCTACCATTTCTGTTCATCGTAATGTTTTGAACAGGGAAAACCAAATCACTGACTATTCTTAGCTGATGCTTGAGAATAGTTAAACTGATTACAGACTTCTCAAGTCCAGTAAAATAAATAAATCACTTAAGGTAGATCACCTGTATACCGCCATCTTGAATTGGGAAATAGCAGTACTTAATTGTTTCAATCTGCAAATTTTGAGACAGATTGGCAATAAATGTGTAATACCTTTCATTTAAATAAAAAAAAAGTAAGTGATTTATTGCATCACTGAGACTAGTTACTGTTTTAACAAATACCTATATTTGTTTTTTGTTCGATCAATTTTTCAATATTGCCATATAAGGAGAGATAACTCTTATAGTAAAAATTTTAAACAAGTTTTTATTTTTACTTGTAGCAAGAAAACAAGTTTGGTGACACCATTTTTATTTTTATTTTCTTAAAGTATATTATAAAACCTATCTTCTCATATTTCATTTCAAATACTTATCTTATAAGATTTCTTTTTATTCCCAAAATGTATTTTCATGCATATCTATACAAAATTGAGCAATTTTGCACGACTTGTAGCTTGAAAAATAGCATGATGAGCCGTACATTTTATTGTATTTTTGAAAAAAGCATGGCAAAATCTACATTTTGGCAAAGTATAAGAAAATTCTATCTCAGGAAATATATACAGATTATCCACCTTAATGTCATCAAAACAGTGAAAAAGTCTGGAATAAATTCCATAAGGAACCTACAATTTATAATATCACAGACTAAAATATCAAGGATATTTTCAAAAAACAATGTTACCTATTAAATGCATGAAAAATGTATATCAGTGTGATTTTGCTAACATCTGTATGTGCAAGTGTGCATTTTATTTATGAAAACAAAAGAAGATGAATACATACCAAATTAACTATCACTTGTTCTCCATAATTATATACCTGGTTGTCAAAATGTCTTTGAAATACTTCTGGCTGTACAAAAAAGTTAATAACAATTTCATTTGCATACATTTTGTTATATAAAACAATTGGAGAATGTGTCCATGGGACACAGATGATGCCCTGCTTGCATATAATTTTATAAAGGGACATAACGGTAAAAGTGATACCGACCAAATTCTATCTTGATCTGAGTTTTGTGGTAATAAGCATTGTGTATATGTTTCATAACATTTGGTTGAGGCAAACTTAAGATAGAGAAAAGAAACAAAAAATTCAGCAAAGTTTCCATTTGAAAAGGGGCATAACTCTAGAATGGTAAAAGTGAGGCCACCAAATTCAAACTTGATCTGTGTTTTGTGGTAACAAGCATTGTGAATGAGTTTCATAACATTTGATTGAGGCAAACTTAAGTTGGAGAATGAAAACCAATTTCTTGACATACGTACGTAAGGACGAACGTAGACGGACAAGTGTAACACTTAATGCCCCCTCCGCTGCAGCGGGGGCATAAAAATAAATAATGTTCATAAGAATCATAATATTTATATACATTACTTGAAACAAATTCCACATGGATGAAATATTGTAATAACTTTCATGTACTTTTACCTTTTGTAGATAGATGACCCAATGACAATCATACCACATCTTTATATTAAAATGTAATAGATAACAATAAAAGAAAGAACTATGCACAGATATAGATAGCACTAGTGTAGTTCAGTTGTTTCTATAATTTTTGAATTTTGGAAATGTACAACATTAAAACTACAGAATTTACTTTTCTTCCTCATTTCGTGTTTGAGAATTATATTACTGGTAATAATGTAGAACTTCAATATATTTTTTTTCAATTGTCATTAATATACACACTAACAAACTGTTAAAGTATCCTCTTACAAGAAACCAGAAAAACATGAACATTACAATACTTACATAATTAGCAGCATTGATTTTTATTTTTGGCTTGTACTTCAAATTAGGTCGTTGTGACCAGAATATAGGTATTGATCCTCTTGTCTGAAAAAATTTTATTTAATATATCTACTTGTTATTTTTCTTACCGGGTAATAAAAGGTCACATTATAAATAGAGAGTTAGTTATTATCATGACTGTTGATGGTATATTTTAAAATTTCGATCCATATTTTTATGCTCACAAATGTCATATAAGAGTGCCATGGCAAAAATCATTAAAAATCTAACAACATTGCTACATTGTAAAATAAAATCTAACAACATTGCTACATTGTAAAATATAATAAGTCATACTGACCTAAATGTTATAGAAATGTTCAATATATATTGTATAAGGGAAATGCATTATTAAAGTGTCTTCGTATTCATCATTGGTTCATCAGTACTTACGTTACGGTGTCAAAATCATAATTTGTTAAGCTGTGTTTTATTTACAACACTGGGTCGATACCACTGCTGGTGGAGGTATCCTCTGTGAGGGTTTCACCAGCCCAGTAGTCAGCACTTCTGTGTTGACATGAATTATCAATGGTCATAACTATAAATTAACTGTTAACAAAACTTTGAATTTTGGAAATACTAAGGAATAGACTACCTTAGCTTTATTTGGCAAAACTATTCAGAAATTTTCGGTCCTCAATGCTCTTCAACTTCTTACTTATATAGCCTTTTTAAATGTTTTGATTGGAGCATCACTAATGAGTCTTTTGTAGACGAAACGCATGTCTGGCATACACAATTTTAATCCTGGTAACTATGATGAGTTTATTTACATAATCATATACCAGTAAGAAGATTGCAAACGGTGAAATTTCTTTCAGAAGACACTGGTTTTGATAAAAAAACCTAAGCAAAAATACCTTACCTAACAAAATGGTCAAACAAACATGCATAAATCTATATATCTACTTAGTTGACCATAAAGTTTTCCACATACCTGCACATATGAACATCTGACTTTTTCATACTCCAGTATCTGTTCTGTTTCTACAAAATTGGCAACTTGACCTTCTGTGTCAATTCCTCTAACCCAGAATCTAGTACCAACTCTTAAAACACATCTCCGGGATATCAAAATATGGTCAAATGATTTGTTGTTTATTAGCGATGGTGTTATACATATAACTAAACATATGTTAAGGAAAACAGTAAGAAAATAAAACTTGAAAAGTCTGCAAATATTTAAAGATAACTGAGGACTGTAAGAAAGTTCTATAGAAATGCTGATGATTTTCTTGTTTATTTACCCCGGTAGACTTTAAGGGTCCAAAGATTGGACTTCAACAAATATCAATAAAATGATTTTCTGTCATTCACATGCGGTAGTAAGGATGAAAATTATTCATGGTTTTCCAAAAACAACATTTTGAATAGCCAAATAAAGGAGAAGGTATTATAACAGCCATTATTTGGCCCCTGTAATTAATTTAAATTATTTCCTTAACTTGTTGTGCTGAGCCTAAACTGGACATATAACGTGGGTTTGCCATTTTTACATAATTCAGAAAAAAAAATTGAAGTTTATGCAATCTTTTTGACCTGACCTTTTACCTTTAACAGCCACAGATTTCCGGTCATAAAAAGGGCATGATGAATAAGTACTATAAAAACAAACCCTACTTTAATACTCCTCATTACAATCAAGGTTAATTAGTTGTCTGACAGCTGAAATTTACCTGTGGAGGCAATAGGTAAACTAATTTTTACGGGACATTGATCTGATTATTCAAAGTTATTTTCTTAAATTTCAATGGTTTGCATCTAATTAACTTAGTTAAAAAGATTTAGATTATCAGAAATATATATTTAAATATGATTTGCGGAAAAATTTAAAAGGTAGTCATAAAGGTTTTAAGGTTCATCAGAAGGAATTGAAGAAAATGAACGTGTTTGCACCACAAAAATTCATTCTGAGTACAGACAAACCAGTGTCCCTGGTAAAGTTTTAGTTCACCCTTTCCACATGAGTGCCAAAACAAACAAACACCTGAATTTCATTTGATACGGTCTACTCATTTATACAATTCAAATCACCTATTGTTGTGCAGGCATCTATTGTCCATTCATTGTCCATGTCATTTCAAACAACTCATAGTATTACATAAGGGAACATCTCAAACATTTTTCCCAATTTAGTTTATTTTGGCACCTTCTGTGGGAATGAAATATTAAATGCATTTAAAAATTAGTTCAAAAATGCTAAAATTATCATTGAAACCTTTATTTAACGTTCATTTCGAATTTTTCAATTGAGCCACTTAAACTCAATCGTGCTTTGTTCACGTACACAGATATTTGCATATCTGTCTTTGGTCATTTTTTTACCATTTTCAAGTCATCATTCGGTATTATAAAATTGTGCTTTTTCAAAATGAAAGTAACATTTTTGACAGCGGAATTTTGCACTAAAAATAGTCTAAGGCAGATGTTACACACTTCGAATGATGCACTGTCAATTTAACAGTTTTCATCAGAACATCGAATTTATATTAAAAGTCAAGTTTAATATCGTTTTTATGTCAATCATTGTTTATATGATGCCCAATTTATTACCATGTCAGATTGCCTTTCATTACTAAGTCTTAAGAGATTAAAATTAGAATAAGACAAAAAATGTCCTGCTGGCTCAAATAGTTTTTGGAAGCCCTGCACTGAGGTGGTTGTTATATAATAAACAGTTACTAAGGATACATCCATGTAAAACAGGTAAACAGAATCTGTGTAGTTCTGGTTGCTGTGTCAATTCTTTGAGAATATGACCATTCCATGTAAACCTAGAATCTGCCTGCAATCAAGGAGTAAAACTAAAACTAGAAAAATCTGACAAAAACTATTAACTCTTTCTAAAACAAAAGAACCTTTAGTGAGCAAACTCATATACCCCACTTCATTAATACAGGATATTTTTCCAAGTCCTCTTCCTTTAAAAATGGTCCCCTTGCTGATTTTTCTGATGATCAAGCTCATCCAAGCTTTTGAAGAGCAGAAGCCTGCATACAAATTTGAGGAGGATCTACTAGTAATAAGAAATGAAGGTGCTATTCTAATGTGGATTATTTATACAAGTCCCCTCCTGAAAAAAATGGTTCCCCATTTAAATCTCTCTGATTATCAAACTCATACATGATTTTGATGAGTGAAACCTGCATTCAAGTTTGAAAAGGATCCGAAAAAAATGATGATGCAAGCACAATGACAACAGAGTGATGATAGCCAAAGATGGAAGCAACAAAAACATTATACCCTCCACAAAAATAGTTCCCCATTTAGATTTCTCCGGTTAATGAACACATCTTATACTTTTATGAGTGGAAACCTTTATACAAGTTTAAAGAGGACCTGAGAAGAAATGTAGGAGCTATTCCATGGACAAGAATTAATATGAAATATTTTTACAAGTCCCCCTTACCTGTTCATGAAAAGAAATTAAAAAGTCAGGATACTTTATTATTGTATATATATAAGGAGGTAACTTACTCTCTCGTGAAGTGGCATACTAACAAAGTCAGGATACTTTATCATTGTATATATATAAGGAGGTAACTTACTCTCTCGTGAAGCGGCATACTAACAAAGTCAGAACTTGTGTTACTCAATCTTTGAAGACTGTGTGTGAGATCATAGGTAGTTGAGAAATAATAACTTTCTGTCTTTAAACAATGCTCTACCAAGTTGACATATGTCTTATTGTCTGTGGTCTGGAATAAATTATAAATATTCATTAACTAATAACATTGATATGAATACAGATATTCATTTACCAGCTACATAGATATGTTAACAGATATGCATTAACCAATTGCATGCCTTTTATTTAACAAATATTCATTAAAGTAACCAATTCGATGTCAAATTTTTAAAGACATTTCTCAGCATTCAACATATTCGTACAAAAAGTAAATATTACAAGAAAACAATAGACTGAAAACATTAAACAAACAAGGAAAAAGTTGGCAAATGCAATACAATGTTTCCGAACTCCTATATATCTTACAACAAATTTAAAGGTGTTTCCTTCAATATGAGGCATAACTCCTGGCTATGATATAGATATAAGAAGATGTGGTATGAGTGCCAATGAGACAACTCTCCATCCAAGTCAAAATTTATAAAAGTAAACCATTATAGGTCACAGTACGGTCTTCAACACGGAGCCTTGGCTCACACCGAACAGTAAGCTATAAAGGGCCCCAAAAATTACTAGTGTAAAACCATTCAAACGGGAAAACCAACGGTCTAATCTATATAAAAAACGAGAAACGAGAAACACTTATGAATTTTATAATGAAAATACTTTTGTTTAATATATACTGAATCTGTAATGGAGACAGCACTAATTTTGGGGATTAACATTAGTCAAGGTGAATAGTATAAGCTGGAAATGTATCTGGATTTAAGAATATCCAAAACTAAATTAAAACCCTCAATTCTGCTGATTTTAAATTTTTGAAGATATATGAATCATGATCCATTACACTGAAAGTTCATTATCATGAACAGAAGCAGCCATTACATAAATAAATTGTTATCACAGAGATATGTCTAGCCTTTTTGTAATTTTGATAATGCAAATTAAAATAGCAATACTTTAACATGTAAGTTATGCAAATATTCAAAGTCAATGAACCATGACTGAAGGTACATGGCTAAACAATCTCCATGGAATGAGATGTGCCAATGCTAATACAACTGCATACCAAATACCATTGACTTATTATAAGTCGTTCCCTTTAAACAAACCTAAACAAAAACATGAACTTGTAAACTATGTAAAAGTTTCAAAGTCAATGAATCATGATCAGGAGTGGGGCTATATAATCTCCATGGAAACTTTACTTACAAATGCAAATATCATTGACTTAACATTAGCAGTTCATCTTAAACTGATCTAATCACAAACTAATACATGCAAACTAAGCAAAAGTTTCAAAGTCAATAGACCATGACTGAGGGGGCGGGGCCAAATATTCTCCATGGAAATGAAATGTGCTAATGCTTATACAACTGAACACCAATTAACATTGGCCTACCACTAATGGTTCCCCTTGAACTGACCTAATCACAAACTAATACATGTTATCTTAGCAAAATTTTCAAAGTCTATAGACCATGACTAAGGAGGCGGAGCCAAATAATCTCCATGGAAATGAGATATGCCAATGCGTATACAACTGCATACCAAATATCATTGACCTAACACTAGTGGTTCCCCATAAATTGACCTAATCACAAACTAATACATGTAAACTATGAAAAGTTTCAAAGTCAATAGACCTTGACTGAGGGGGTGAGGCCAAATAATCTTCAAGGTAATGAGATGTGCTAATGCTAATACAACTGCATACCAAATATCATTGACCTACCACTAGTGGTTCACCATGAACTAGACCTAATCACAAACTAATACATTGTTGACACCGCCGCCACCGGAAACAGCATACCTATGTCTCGTTTTTTGACTCTGTCAAGGCGAGACAAAAATTTCAGTCTATCAATAGCTGCTGTAACTTTGAACTTTGACGTATTGACCCCAAAATCATTATCGGGGTCTTTATCTCCCATGGTAAAAATATTCTTTATGGCTCAAAAGATTTTGTCTCGAAACAAAAGTTTTGATGCCTAGACACCCAGAATGCAGGACAGCATTCATTACCGGTATATGATAAACTGGGTTGAACAAATTAAAACTAGGCTTATAATATGACGTTGAATAACAAGCAAGTTTGGCTAAAAATGACAACCAACATTTATTTCTATTGTTACCTGTTTCTCTGTAAGATGTAAAGTAGTTCTTTTATATGAAAGCATTTCTGTATCTGTAACTTTCCATACTGCATGTCCACATATCTCTCCAACTTTCTCTTTCTTGGTAATCACAATAAGATAGGGTCCTGCTGTTAATCGTATGATACCAAAGATTCCCCATATTGACTTTGTCACAGCAGGAGGTATCTCAGCATTTCCTGAAAACACATAAATAATTAAAGAACCTTAGTGAGCACGCTCACATACCCCACGTCCTCACATTGTCATTGGAGAAATAAAATATGTGTAAGAAAAAAAAATTGAATCATAATTTCCTGTCAATATGCACATCTACAGAGTATGTCCTTATTATCTACAAAGTTTCATGAAATTATGTTGTGTGGTTTCAGAGGAGTTGCGATGAAAAACTGTTGCAGAAGACATTGAAGCAAATAAGTTCAAAGGGGCGTAACTCCTAGAAAAAATATTGAATCATAATTTCCTGTCGATATGCACATCTACATAGTATGACCTTATTATCTACAAAGTTTCATGAAATTCTGTTGTGTGGTTTCAGAGGAGTTGTGATGACAAACTGTTGCAGTAGTACATTGAAGCAAATAAGTTCAAAGGGGTGTAACTCCTAGAAAAAAAATTGAACCATAATTTCCTGTCAATATGCACATCTACATAGTATGTCCTTATTATCTAAAAAAGTTTCATGAAATTCTGTTGTGTGGTATCAGAGGAGTTGCGATGACAAACTGTTGCAGTAGTACATTAAAGTAAATAAGTTCAAAGGGGCGTAACTCCTAGAAAAAAAATTGAACCGTAATTTCCTGTTGATATGCACATCTACATAGTATGTCCTTATTATCTAAAAAGGTTTCATGAAATTATGTTGTGTGGTATAAGAGGAGTTGCGATGACAAACTGTTGCAGTAGTACATTAAAGTAAATAAGTTCAAAGGGGTGTAACTCCTAGAAAAAAAATTGAACCGTAATTTCCTGTCGATATGCACATCTACATAGTATGTCCTTATTATCTAAAAAGGTTTCATGAAATTCTGTAGTGTGGTATCAGAGGAGTTGTGATGACAAACTGTTGCATAGTACATTGAAGCAAATAAGTGCAAAGGGGCGTAACTCCTAGAAAAAAAATTGAACCGTAATTTCCTGTTGATATGCACATCTACATAGTATGTCCTTATTATCTACAAAGGCTTCATGAAATTCTGTTGTGGTATATCAGAGGAGTTGCGATGACAAACTGTTGCAGTAATACATTAAAGTAAATAAGTTCAAAGGGGCGTAACTCCTAGAAAAAAAAATTGAATCGCAATTTCCTGTTGATATGCACAACTACATAGTATGTCCTTATTATCTAAAAAGGTTTCGTGAAATTCTGTTGTGTGGTTTGAGAGGAGTTGCGATGACAAGAAACAGGACTGACGGACTGACGAACGGACAGACGGACGGACGGACGGGTCAAAAACATTATACCCTCTGCAACTCGTTGCGTGGGGTATAATAACTATGCATCCATAGATATCTGTGATGTTTTATATTAAAGATTAATGGAGAACGAAATAACCATCATTTAGACACATCATAATATTTTTCCATGTTCAATATTTTGAAGCCAGATTTCAATTTGATTCTGATTCACGTAGAAATTCAAGAAATCATATTAAAATATATAATTCAAACCATGACCATGACGACCATTTAATTGAAAATTGAATTATACAGCTAGGAAGGCCTATTGTTTCAGCCCTGGTATATCAAACGCAAATATTTTACCATGTACATTTGTTAATCAATATATTTATTTCCATCTTATTTTCATCAGTTTTCAGACTCAATAAAGAACCCCAAATTCATACAAAACATTGCTAGGATCATTACTGTTTTAAAAACATGGACTTAAATCATCAATATCAATGTGTAGATTGTTCTTTAAGTCTCTTAACTAGCACAACAAATAATAAGGTCAGTTTACAAGGTGCCATACATTTCTTTTGTATGTCAAACTCATACATTTCTACCTTCTTACATTTATTATGTACCTTGTGGACTTATTTCTACCTTCTTACATTTATTATGTACCTTGTAGACTTATTTCTACCTTCTTACGTTACTTATGTACCTTGTAGACTTATTTCTACCTTCTCACATTACTTATGTACCTTGTAGACTTATTTCTACCTTCTTACGTTACTTATGTACCTTGTAGACTTATTTCTACCTTCTCACATTACTTATGTACCTTGTAGACTTATTTCTACCTTCTTACGTTACTTATGTACCTTGTAGACTTATTTCCTGTGAAACTCTGTCAATTACTAGTATCTCACTCTCTTTTGAATCTTTTGGTTCTACATAAAACTTGTCTGCAGTAATATGTCTGAAAAAAATAATAATGTTTAACATGTACTTAAGAAAACATCAACCCAATGTGAACAAAAAACATTGAAATAGTTCATGATTTACTGTAATTGTTTTAAAGTCTTGTAAAAAAGCTTTTTGACAACCAAGTATTTATATGTGATCATAACACACGTCCAGTTAGTATATTGTAGATGAATCTTATAAAAATTGGATCCTTTAATTCCTCCGGTTCTGATATTTTGCCCATCAAGGCTTAATATGTGAAATATCAGAACGGGAGCCATTAGGATCTATATGGGCATCATAACATAGAGGTTGGTATACTTCTACTATCTACCATGTACATCTGGCACTGTGCATGATTCATTTACATGTGCATATTTAAATCTATCATGTCTATAATGTATCAAGATCAACCAAACTTATAAAATTAAAATATGTTACTTTTTAAAACCTTACTTTGATTAATTGATTATATTATTTCTTAATCTTTTGAGGTCTATTATTTTATCCTTTTGAAGATCGTCTTTGTAAATGGAATTGATAAAATATCAAAATATCAACTCACTATGTAAGTGTTCCAGCTTGAATCTCAGGGCAGAAGGGTGCTAGTTGACCTAAAGGGCACTTTAGCACAATCATTCAGATTTTTAGGGCACTTGTGCAAAGTAAAATTATTGCCAAAAATAATAACAATTCTAATAAATCTCTTCCTATAGAAATGTACCTATAAAATTAGGAAATATAAAGCATTTTAACAAATTTAACATATTAAAGTGGGTTGTTAGCACATCCCCTGAAAACAAATTTCAATATTTCTAGGATAGCTTGAGGCCATATTTTAAGCATAATTTTTTATTACATTTCCAAGTTTTATCACATTATTATACTAGAGGCTCTCAAGAGCCTGTGTCGCTCACCTGACTCTACTTTGGTTTTAGAAATCATGTAAAGATAGATAAAAATCATAACAGATACCCCAATAATGATTGAGGCCAAATTTTGATTAATATTGGTCCCGTTATTTAATAAAATATCCTGGTGGCCATCTTGAACAGTAAATCGGCAACAAAGTAGCAACACTTGGTCAGCACTTCATAAGGAACATTCATGCCATGTTTGGTTTCATTCCATTCAGTGGTACTCTAAAAGAAAACATTTGTATGTATTTCCCATAGGGTCCTATGTTAAACTAAGCCCCCCCCCCCCCCTAGCGGCCATCTTGGATGATGGATCGACTGCAAAGTAACAACACTTGGTCAACAACTCATAAGGAACATTCATGCCATGTTTGGTTCAATTCCATTCAGTGGTTCTCTAAAAGAAGACAATTGTATGAATTTCCCATAGGGTCCTATGTTAAATTAAGTCCCCCTCTGTCGGCCATCTTGGATGATGGATCGGCTGCAAAGTAACAACACTTGGTCAACATCTCATAAGGAACATTCATGCCATGTTTGGTTCCATTCCATTTATTGGTTCTCTAAAAGAAGACATTTTTATGTATTTCCCATAGGGTCCTATGTAAAACTAAGTCCCCCGCTGGCGGCCATCTTGGATGATGGATCGGCTGCAAAGTAACAACACTTGGTCAGCATCTCATAAGGAAGATTCATGCCATGTTTGGTTTCATTCCATTCTGTGGTTCTCTAAAAGAAGACATTTGTATGTATTTCCCATAGGTCCTTTGTTAAACTAAGTCCCCTGCTGTTGGCCATCTTGGATGATGGAACGACTGCAAAGTAACAACACTTGGTCAGCACCTCATAAGGAACATTCATGCCATGTTTGGTTTCATTCCATTCAGTGGTTCTCTAAAAGAAGACATTTGTATGTATTTCCCATAGGGTCCTATGTTAAACTAAGTCCCCCGCTGGCGGCCATCTTGGATGATGGATTGGCTACAAAGTAACAACACTTGGTCAGAACCTCATAAGGAACATTCATGCCATGTTTGGTTTCATTCCATTCAGTGGTTCTCTAAAAGAAGACATTTGTATGTATTTCCCATAGGGTCCTATGTTAAACTAAGTCCCCCGCTGGCGGCCATCTTGGATGATGGATCAGCTACAAAGTAACAACACTTGGTCAGCACCTCATAAGGAACATTCATGCCATGTTTGGTTTCATTCCATTCAGTGGTTCTCTAAAAGAAGTCATTTGTATGCATTTCCCTTAGGGTCCTATGTTAAACTAAGTCCCCCGCTGGCGGCCATCTTGGATGATGGATCGGCTACAAAGTAACAACACTTGGTGAGCACCTCATAAGGAACATTCATGCCATGTTTGGTTTCATTCCATTCAGTGGTTCTCTAAAAGAAGTCATTTGTATGCATTTCCCATAGGGTCCTATGTTAAACTAAGTCTCCCGCTGGCGGCCATCTTGGATGATGGATTGGCTACAAAGTAACAACACTTGGTCAGCACCTCATAAGGAACATTCATGCCATGTTTGGTTTCATTCCATTCAGTGGTTCTCTAGAAGAAGTTCAAAATGTAAAAAGTTAACGCCGACGACGCCGGACAACGGACGCCAAGTGATGAGAAAAGCTCACTTGGCCCTTCTGGCCAGGTGAGCTAAAAATGAAGCAAGACACATAATAATGGTGAAAAAAAAACTAAAACATCAGAATTTTCAATGTTATAATTGGTACGGATATATTTATATATACAATGTATATACCAAACTATATAAATGAACAGACAATTTAAATTGCTTCACAAAATATTATTATTACAGTTACAGTTAAATTATTTGTGAATACATGCAAATATTGTATACTGACAATTATTTATTTTAATGTTACAAGCAAGTACCGTAGAAACTCGCCTATTAGTCGATCCGACTATTAGTCGGTTGCCCTTTTCAGCTCCAAATTCTAAGGATTTAGTCTTGGCCCTCGTATAAGTCGGCCAAGGACATTTTTTTTGCAGCTGACAGTTCATGAATGCCGGTAAAACCAATGCAAATCCAGGAATTATATTCATTTTCTGCATGAATGTTTGTTTGGTTTGAATTTAGTTGATGTTGATTATGATAATTTATATTGCTGTTAATAATAAAGATGTATTCATTCCTGTTGTTTTGTTCACTGTTTGATTAGCCATGTGTTGTTTACGTAATGCATCAATGATTTTGTAGGGTATAACTAACAACCTATTGTTTGAGAAAAGCGAACATAAACCAATATGAACCTGAACAAATTAAAAGTCAATCAATATTTTTCACAGCACACATAACTCTGTGTTAAATTCTTATTCGTATTATATTGTGATGATTAAAGGATTAAAAAAAATTAAGTGAAGCTAATCAACTTCATATTAAAATAACCCTAACTCATTAGTGTCATCTGTTCACCTATCACTGATATTTTTCACACCTTTAGTGAATACAACCTTTTGTCTCTTAATAAGGGGTTATCAATGGATTATATTGGCTTGTCAATCAATTTTGTAATTTTTGTGTTTACCTGAGACATTTTAATAATGAATGATATTTTGATCTTGGGAATGAATCTTAAAATTATTTTTGATTATTGTATGATTTATAAGTATTGAATTGATATCATGATATCACAATAATGACACAATAACTCCGCTGAAAATATCCTTTCACATAGTTGGTACATTGTTATCTCGTTTTCATTTTTGGTTCTTGGCTCTTTCTTTTGGGTTTATGCACAAACCATCTGACCATGAAAATCAATACACAAACCGGAAACAGTCGGAAATTCAACACGAATTGACAGAAAAAAGTTTACAAAGAACAAATAAAACACAAAGACAGTATTGTAGTCATTTATTTTCAACAAAAACTTTTTATTAAGGAATTTATGTAGGTTTGGCAATCACCAACGTAGTTTTGACCAGGAAATTCACTCCTGACCACTTTTCTCGAGCTTGGATTTTTCCTCAGGTCGCTGGATCTCGTCTATTAGTCGGTACCCCTCTCTGGATTAGGAATTTTACTCCCAATTTTCCGACTAATAAGCGAGTTCCTACGGTAGGTCTAGTATGCACATCAAAGTGCTCCTTAGTAAGGAGTATTATAATATAAGAGATAAGTCAGGAAGTGATGCAATCACATTGATGTTCAAAATACAATTTTTATATCAGACAACAGAAAAATAAACTGAATATTTACTGCCTTTTCCAATTAAGTCTATTAATATGCCTTAAACATTGTTTAACAAGCTATGTGATTTATTTTATCCTCACTAAACAAACTTAAATAAAGTTTTTCAAGTGTACACGTTGTACAAAAACAATTTATAAAATGGAGCACATGACATTTCCTTTTGCATTAAATATCTAGCATGTCTAGTATTTGTTCAATTATCTTCAATCACCTAATTAGCAGAAGCCAATCTTCAACAGAGGTGATAAAATAGCCAAAGCTTTATTGTATCTAATTATATGTCATCGTCAATTAATTAGTTGTTTAGACAAGCAGCTCAGGTAACAATTTTTACCGGAAATGCTGATAGACATGAAATTTTATAAAGTTTATTGTTGAAACAGCAGAAGGGTGCAATTTTTTGCTTTGAAGGGCAGAAGGGCAGAGTAAGGGCACCAAGGGTGGGCCGCCCTTCTATTTTGGGCAGAAGGGAACACTGCACTAAAATGCAAACCCTTGATTGTTACGATAGATATGATTGAACAAAAATAACCACTCAGTAAAAATACTTGATTGTTGAGATTGATTATGATTTATTAACAAATATAAACTCCATCAATTCAGCAACAAGTGCACACCTTTGATGCTAAGAATAAATCATGATTGGTTAGGTAAAATAAAAGAAATATATGTCTGTTTACGATTACCTGACCGACCCCAAGTCATTTTAATTCTGTCTTAAAGTGAAAAATTACTGAACTCATGTCAAAAGCAAAGTTTTAAGTTGCCAATAAATTTAATCAATTGCCTGATACATCCCAATGTTCATACATGTAATCGTGAATATGTCCATGATGGCAGCTGTTTTAAGGAAACTCATGACTCGTGTGATAAAATAAAGACTTTTCTGCCATTTTTTTTCAACCAGTAACCAAGGAAAATAATCCCATTATTTATATGGGTAAACTCTGCCAATGGACAACTGGGACCACGCCAAGACAGAAAGCACAACTCAAATTCATGTCGCAAAAAAAAAAATGATGGAATTACCAACCTACCTACCCTATTTTATTTATGATGTAACCTAAAACTGACATTTTTTTTTTGCCTTATTACACTAGAACGTTAGGATAGATTTATTGTTTTTAACCCTCTTGCTGCCAAAGGGACATTTATGGCTTCTACACACAAATCTTGTTGATTGTGTAGAACGTCAAAGGTCCATGGTAACGTCACAATACTGAGGGGCACTGACAACGTCAAAAGACGGCGCCAAAAGGACTATTTTGGCGGGAATGAAGCAAACTGAATAATATACTTAAAACGGATGTCAAAAAATGATACAGGATCGTAAGCTTGTTAATAGTACTATAATACCTACTTATTTAAAGTGTTTACTAATTATCTAGTTCGTCATTTTCATGTAAAATGTTGCATGATTTCGAGAAAATTGTTAAACGTTTTTTTCATACATCTTTCAATCAGAATATCTCATATAATAATCGCATTCCTAATAAATAATCATAGAAAAGATAACTGTTTCACTTGATTACGCGAAATATTAATATTCACAATACACGCTTTATTTAAGAGAACTTGAAAATGTCTTTAGGGCTCAAATGCCACGATTGAATTCTCAGTGAAGATTTTTTTTGTAAAAGTACACAAATGTTACCCGATATACTTGTATTGCCATACGATATTTCAATACATTTTATACCCAATTCATCATTGAAGCACTAATCTAAAAATATTTATTTTCATTCGAAATTGGGATGTTAAATTAGTACATGTAGTAGGTGACCCAATGATTTCTTTTCCTATCCTACACATAATCCTTTCCCAGTGGGAACCTCAATTTTCAGCCATTCATCACAGATATTTTACTTTGTAGGACCCACTGAGCAACATATTTATTGTACATTAAATTTCAGACGTCCTTAATATTGCATGAAATACTTGCCCCTGAACGTTGAGAAGAGAACAATTTATCAATCAACAGATTTTAATAGATATTTTGTGTATGCCAATTACAGTGTGTACTTCATCATAGAAAATGAAAAGGAATGGTTATTGATTCATGTTCTCTTGTAGACAATAGAAATTAATTTTAGAGAATTTCTTCCCTCGTATTTTCAAACATTTCTCTAAAATTTTGAGCCTTAAGTGGTCAACAAAATAATAATTAACATGATTAAAAAATAACAAAATGAATATGAATAATAACGTCTATAAAAATTATTTCCTCGCCTACCGAAACAAGGCCAGCTTGGAATGAAAATTTTAATCTGACACGTTTGATACTTTACAACAAGAAGTAGTTCATAGAATCGGCTGCTCAGAGTTTTTATTTATTTTTATTTGTACACGCATTGTTTTTATTTTTATTTTCATTGGGTGCCGTTGTTTTGTTTATATAATTATTTGAGAGATTTTTTTACGGTATTTATCAATTATAACAAGGTTTACTAAGCTAATCGGATAACAAGGATAAATATATTTTAGTATTTTAGAGGTGGTTAAGAATCAGTTATGCATTTCACTTGACAAAGATAAAACAAAAGCGCTTATAAAGCTAGTAGCAATGGGTATATTATTTTCATTTTTTTTAAAGACAAGAAAGATAAAAAAAACTATATTTCAAGGTTAAAAGTTTTTTTTTTAAATAATGTTGTATTAAAAACATCGTTTATAACAATTTTAGAGCCATAGTTTTCATAAAACTACTTTTACATCACTTTTCATAATTACGGCTACATTGACGCGGGAAAAATTATGAACGGCGGGAAAGCGCTGTTCTACAGAGAGGCACAAGTTTTGCAACGTCACAGATATGAAACGTCAAGATGCTTTTGGCGCGACAAAGCAAGAAAAAAACTCGGCAGCAAGAGGGTTAAATAGTATTTACCATCAAATGATTCAACTCTCAAACACTCATAAAAGATTGAATATACGATATTCCAATTTCGATTTTAATGGAATGGTACTCTCTGAAGTACGAGTTGACAATTGTTTGACTTTGCAATAATACTAGATAGCCGTTTTTCTCAAGTATGATAATGTCTCATGGCCAGAGTGATGATCGCGACTTATTGATAACTTATTCAGATATTGAGAATGACTGTGATTCGAAAAATAATATAAAAAAAAAATCACGGTTTATATGAGCTCTATGATATTTTTCAATCAATACATTTTCTAGCATTTGTTTTCTGTATAGATTAACATTTACATACAGAGTTAATGAATCGTGGACAGACATGGTCACTGGTGTGATCGCCTGACGTGACAGTTATGTATTGTCTCCCCTTGAACGCTAAATTAATGAAAATATAAATTTCATTCTTGTTCAAATTTACGATGATTTTTCTAGTTGGGTATGACACAAGGATAAGATAAGTTAAGATAAGAAAACTTTATTTTGATTCGGCATAAGTTAAAAGACACAACACAAGCTCTAAGGAGCTTTTGACCGAATATAAAAACATATACATAACATAAAAACAGTCTAATTTGACATATAAAACAACCTGTTATACGAAGTTAAATCTCACTAACATAGCATGCAATAAAAATTTAGCAACAAATTTAAAATGAAATAAAACATGCTAGACCAGAGCAACCAAAAGCAACATAAATACTAAACATCTCAAGAATTATCTGCAAACAGAACAGCGACATTCCAAACCGTTCCAGGACTGAACAACACTTTTAAAATATGAAAAACTATTTTCAGTCCTGAAATGGTTTGGAAGGCTGTTCCATAAAGTTTTATTTACAGTAATGAAATATTTCCGTTTTCATTGTATCATTTGACCAATGTCTGTCAGAAATATATTAAATGACGATATTTTTATCAATAAAAAAACTTCTCCGGAGCTGCAATACATAATTTATTAAATGACATCATTTGAAGTTCCGGCCAGAGAACGACTTTATTTATAGAGAACATAATTTATATCTTAGTATATAGACATACAAAATGTTCTGGTATTTGACAGTTTTTTCACTTCCATTTGTTCTTGGATCTTATAGTTCTAAGTGTAAGTATTGAAAGTAGAAACACTTTTGTTTGTACAATATGTTTATTCCAAATAACTTAATAAGTCCAAATAATTATGTCATTTATGATGTCTTGAACGTAAATAGACTCCTCAGGAACAACCTGATACCCTCACCTGGCACTTGTCTCTGAATTCTGATTTTTTTTCCTATATACCTTAATACATGTAATATAACACAAGGTATTTAACCTCGCATTTTTGTCTCGCCTTGACGGAGTCAAAAAGCAAGACATAGGTATGCTGTTTCTGGCATCTGCAACGGCGGCGACCGAGACGGCGTCAACAATGTATTAGTTTGTGATTAGGTCTAGTTCATGGTGAACCACTAGTGGTAGGTCAATGATATTTGGTATGCAGTTGTATTAGCATTGGCACATCTCATTACCTTGGAGATTATTTGGCCCCGCCCCCTCAGTCAGGGTCTATTGACTTTGAAACTTTTCATAGTTTACATGTATTAGTTTGTGATTAGGTCAATTTATGGGGAACCACTAGCGGTAGGTCAATAATATTTGGTATGCAGTTGTATAAGCATTGGCATATCTCATTTCCGTGGAGATTATTTGGCTCCGCCCCCTTAGTCATGGTCTATAGACTTTGAAAATTTTGCTAAGTTAACATGTATTAGTTTGTGATTAGGTCAGTTCAAGGGGAACCATTAGTGGAAGGCCAATGTTAATTGGTGTTCAGTTGTATAAGCATTAGCACATCTCATTTCCATGGAGAATATTTGGCCCCGCCCCCTCAGTCATGGTCTATTGACTTTGAAACTTTTGCTTAGTTTACATGTATTAGTTTGTGATTAGATCAGTTTAAGATGAACTGCTAATGTAAAGTCAATGATATTTGGTATGCAAATTTATTGGCATTTGCAAGTATCGTTTCCATGGTGATTATATAGTCCCACCCCTGATCATGGTTCATTGACTTTTAAACTTTTACATAGTTTACAAGTTAATGTTTGTGTTTAGGTTTGTTTAAAGGGAACGACTTATAATAAGTCAATGGCATTTGGTATGCTGTTGTATTAGCATTGGCACATCTCATTCCATGGAGATTGTTTAGCCATGTACCTTCAGTCATGGTTCATCGACTTTGAATATTTGCATAACTTACATGTTAAAGTATTGCTATTTTAATTTGCATTATCAAAATTACAAAAAAGCAAGACATATCTCTGTGATAACAGTTTATTGAAAAATGACAATCGGGCACGAAATTTTGTAATATTTCGATTCCTCGGTTGTCTACCCGCTAAAACTTACTGCGAACCTTATATTTCCAAAGGGCTGTGAGAAGATGAAATAATTATGGTTGACATACTTGGGAGGCCTGCTACAAATGTCGAAACGATTCTGACAACAAAGGTAGGTGTGTCATATACCATTGTGTAGATAAATCAATGTAGATCTATGGCATGATACGTTTTAGTGTGGTAGATAACTGAGGAATCAAAATATAAAGAAAGTTGCGACCAATTGTCATTTTTCAAAAATACGAGTTCAGTACCATGTGATGTAAATGTTATATTAAGTTATATAGGAAATTTTTTTTCAGAGACTAGTGCCTGTGCCATCAGGATGAAAATGATAAAATCATAAACTATTTGGTTAATACATGTATGTCAACATATAAGAAATAATACATTGTACATTGTTGTAAGGAATGCAATGTTTGATACTGGTATTATAATAACACAATGATATAAGACTATTTCAAATGTTCAGTTCTCTGGGTTCCACAGGGTATAGGACTGGTCTGTTCGTCTTAATTAATATTACATGTTTGCCCTTGGTCAGTTTGCCATGGGTTCATTCTCCCTTATATATAGACACATGATAGAGTTTGTTTTTCCAACTTTTATGATAAAAAGTTTTTGTTTTATTAATTGTATTGGCTTCCTTGTTACATTTGTTTTTATTGGGAATTACTTTTAATAACTGTAATTTAGAATGCTGATTAGGTATAATTAAGATGTCTTTGATCTCACTGATAGATGTATGATTTCATGTATTAATTGTTTTTGGTGGATTAATAATGAAAAAAAAGTATTTTTTTTAAAATAAAGTAGTCAGCTTGGAGTGAGTAAAACCAATGAATGTATGAATTATCATGATTATAAGACATGAAAAGGAATTTTTTTTTTGCAGCTTGGCTTCTGTAATCTCAAGGTTGTTTTGGCAAATTAGTTATATATTGAAATGGATTACAGAGTCACTTCATTTTCCAAAAATTAAAAACACATTACAACAATTTATCAGACTTGATAATTAAATACATAAAACTTTAGCTAAGAAGTATATTCATGATCATGAATCGATGATGATATAGCTGTTGGTGTTTTTATTATTGATTTTCAGAAGGCTTTTGATATGCTTTGGAAACAGGTTACTAAAGAAAATGATTAATTTTGGTATTGAAGGAGATTTATTAGCACATGTTAATAATTTAAAATACATGGTTTGTTTCATTTCAATGATTATTAATTGCAACTAATAAACTTTCCCTGATTATATTGGTAAACTTAAATTTGGTCCACAAAGATGTCAACTTTAGACAGCAATACACAAGAGACTTATAACATTAACTAGCTATACATATAGCTTAATTTGACCTTTATTCTTCCTGTCATGATCAGTTGTCTACTATCTTGAAATAATACATGTAATATGACATTAAAAATCATCCAAAGAAAAGAATTGTTGATCTGAATAAAAAATAATGTTTTAAAATGATACTGCATTTATTTACTAATAAAAGTTCAATATTAAGTTTTAAAAATCATAAGTAAGAGAAGAAAAGAAATGAAAAACTATTAACATTTCACTTAATTTCTAAAGTAAATCTTGTGAAAAAGAAAGGAAACACACAATTCATTTTTAGTTTGACTGACCTTGTCGTCCGAAACCCAGACAATAACTTGAGTATAAGTTTATGGACCTATATGAAATTGTATCACAAGGTTCCAAACCACAAAAGGAAGGTTGGGAGAGATCTAAGGGGTTATTGCCCAAACCGTTTAGGAATTAGGGGCAAAACAGGGGCATAAAAAACAAAGATTTCCGGACAATAACTTGAGTATAAGTCTATGGATTTCTATGAAATTGTTTCACAAGGTTCCATATCAAAAATGAACAGTTGGGATTGATTTTGGGGGTTATCATGGCCGTAACCATTTAGAAATTAGGAACCAAAAAGTGGCCAAAAAAATACTTTTCTTATACTAAAAAATGTATAAACTTTGTTAGATTTGATTAAAAATTGAATATTTGTGGAACTTTGATATGCTGAATCTAACCGTGTATTTAGATTTTTGATTTAGGGGCCCGTTTTCAAATTGGTCCACATTAAGGTTTGAAATGAAACTTTGTTTGATTTCAACAAAAATTGAATTCTTGGGGACCTTTGATATGCTGAATCTAACCAAGTATTTAGCTGTTCAGATTTTTAAATTTTGGTCCCGTTTTCAAATTGGTCCACATTAAGGTCCAAAGGGTATGACTGAAACTTTTATTTGATTTCATCAAAAATTGAATTCTTTGGGTTCTTCATGTTCTTTGATATGCTGAATCTAACCATGTATTTAGATTTTGGTTATTAGACCATAATTGGTAAATGTCTGATTTCAAATTTAAAAGTTCTTCGAACACATTCCTTCTGTGTCAGAAACCTATGTTATGTCAAATATTTAGTCACAATCCAAATTTAGATCTGTTTCAAGCTTGAATGTAGTGTCCAGACTTGCCCCAACTGTTCAGGGTTCGTCCTCTGTGGTCATATCAAGCTGCGCCCCACAGATAATTTAATTTAAATTTAATTCAGCAAATGATTTTTTTTATGTTTTCATTTTTATTGTGACTTTATTTCCTGTTCTCCTTTTCTATAAGTAGTTTTCATACAATCATACTAACCCAACATCTCAAATTCAAATGATCTATTGACATATTTAGCTATTTCGAACTTGTTCAATTAGATGTTTATGTATATACATTTTGTACCTACCATTTCTATTTAATTTAATTTAATTTCATTTTCTTTCTTTTTTCCCTTTTTATTATCACAGTAATTAAATGCACAAATTCTGTCAAAACACTAACACAAAATTTACCTTGGACACAACATTACCTGTAAGCTATTTAACTTTGCCACAAAAATACTATCAGCCAGTCCCTTGACTGGTGATTTTATTGTTTGTAATACCTTGTTTATTAATCAAACCACAAACCACCATTTATCAGATAATGACATAGGTAGTACTGTACCTAATGGCAAGAACACTCTTTAACTTAGTGCTGTTTAAAATAATATTGTTGAGACAAATCCATGACAACACGCCCCATTGCCAAATCGCCCCAACTTTCTACCAACTTGCCTCATTTTCTACCAAATTGCCCCACTTATCATGCTTATGGAAAAGAGTTTCATCCCACTTTATATAGGCCTACCAAATCACTATCATGACTATTGCAACAATAATAAGTACAACTGTTATCCAGAGATCATTTGTTTTAAGTACCATCTCTAACCATGCTAACTGTTTACTGGTAGTTGACCATATTTGATAATTTATTATGTTTCATCTAATTTCAGATTTCTACATGGATGAAAATTGTAACCGAGAAATTAGTATGCAAACAGAAAGAATTGAAACAGCGAAGTTAAAGCTGACACGACATTCACATTATTCCAGAAATATGAACTGTGTACTTAAATTAAAAGCTCCCACAAACAAGAGAATCATGATATATTTTACAAAAATTGACATAAAAGAATCTAGAATTTCCTTTGGATACTCATGTGAAGATTATCTTGAATTATATGATGGATCAAGTACATCAAACAGTCATCTTTCAGGTATTTTCATTTAAAGTTTAATTGTCATACATATGTAAATATAAAAAAAAAGACCAAATGACTATAGGTCACTGTATGGCCTTCAACAATGAGCAAAACCCATACAGCATACATGTAGTCAGCTATGAAAGGCCCTGAAATAACAAATGTAAAACAATTCAAACGAGAAAACCAACACCCTGATTCATGTACATACGGATGAACGAAAAACATATATGACACAGCAAGGAACAACAACCACTAAATCAAGGCTTCCAACCCTGGACAGGAATGACACAGCAACGAACAACACCCACTGAATCAAGGCTTCCAACCCTGGACTGGAATGACACAGCAATGAACAACAACCACTGAATCAAGGCTTCAAACCCTGGACAGGAATGACACAGCAAGGAACAACAACCACTGAATCAAGGCTTCCAACCCTGGACAGGAATGACACAGCAATGAACAACACCCACTGAATCAAGGCTTCAAACCCTGGACAGGAATGACACAGTTATGAACAACAACCACTGAATCAAGGCTTCCAACCCTGGACAGGAATAACACAGCAATGAACAACAACCACTGAAGGCTTCCAACTCTGGACAGGAATGACACAGCAACGAACAACAACCACTGAATCAAGGCTTCCAACCCTGGACTGGAATGACACAGCAATGAACAACAACCACTGAATCAAGGCTTCCAACCCTGGACAGGAATGACACAGCAAGGAACAACAACCACTGAATCAAGGCTTCCAACCCTGGACAGGAATGACACAGCAATGAACAACACCCACTGAATCAAGGCTTCAAACCCTGGACAGGAATGACACAGTTATGAACAACAACCACTGAATCAAGGCTTCCAACCCTGGACAGGAATGACACAGCAATGAACAACAACCACTGAAGGCTTCCAACTCTGGACAGGAATGACACAGCAACGAACAACAACCACTGAATCAAGGCTTCCAACCCTGGACAGGAATGACACAGCATTGAACAACAACCACTGAATCAAGGCTTCCAACCCTGGACAGGCACACACTTCTTGAATGGCTAAGTTTTTCCATAAACTTTGACAAAGACTTTCTTTTAAAAAAAAATGCTTTATTTTATCCTTAGATCTTTAGAAATGTACTGCTTTTTAATTATTGTCTTCCTATACTATAATTGAAATTCAACGAAAGCTTTTCTGTATGCAGTAACCTTAGCCATGACACCTTCACATAAGAAATTTGGCAATGGCACAGGGCAGGTTCAAAGGAAAAGAAACATAATTGAAAAAAAAGTATAATTTGCTCAACAATTTCCATAACATTATAATCACCAGAAACTTGTTTCACATGACTTTAAAAGGTATGTTATAGTAAGTACAATGTGCATCATGTAGGGCACATTTGTACTTTTCTTTCATAGTTTATTGTTGATTGACACTTGACAGTCATGACAGTATACATGGTAAATTTTAAGAATAAGAATGACAACGTTTTGGATGAGCATATGCTTTACAGTGTGATGTGTTTTCAGATTCATCGCTCATTAACTTCATATTTACATAATTCCTAAAGTGGGAGTATCATTAGTGTGAGCAAGAGCTCACGGTTTTACCTATTATTTTGAAAGCGAATAACTTTTGGTGATCTGGTTGAATATACTTAGAATTAAGACTCTGTCACATTATGTCTCTTGAATAAAAGGAATGATATTTCAAAGTGAATCACCTGCAAAGATCACCAGATGCATTTAAAAATTATTAAGCACATAATGTCATCTAATGTGTAATATTCCTACCTTGTTTTTTACACAATATGCATGTGTATGTGTATTGTCTTGACATCATACAGTTGTTTATTAAGCACCATATGTGTATTATTCCTACCTTGTTTTACACAATATGTATTTATATTTGTGTTGTCTTGACATCATGCAGTGGTTAATTAAGCACATTATGTCCACTTTTTTTCTCAGATTTCTTTTAACTGGTCTATTTACATTAAGCAGCTTATTCTAAAATAGACATCTTTGTTTTTAGTAAATTAAAATATAGCTAAATAATATATGTATATAACTGTCAAGTAAAGAACACTTTTGGTCCCTTGTCCTGTTGATTGAACTTACTAGATGAAAAACAAATTTGAAATAGATATATACAATATGTCATTTTGCAAAGCTATGTGAAATGAAAATATGTATACATTTATCAAGATTACTATATATGACAGTTATGCTTTGATTTTTTCTAGGTTTACAACATAACAAGATATGTGGAGAAAAAGAACCTAAGCGAGCATTTTACACGACAGGACAGTACCTAACTTTGACATTTCACAGTGACTATTCCAGACAGGATGATGGATTTTCCCTGTATTTTACTGCTTTTCATTCTGGTATAAATTTTAAAACTTAATTGCTAATATATAACAGTCAATTTATACAGTGCTGTCCTCAGAAATGTCTTATATCATCCTGGTAAACAGGAAATTATGAAATATTTCCTTGTTTCTAGAAACTATAGCGTCATCCATAACACTTTCTATAAGAAATTAGTTTCAGATAACATCACATTATAGCAATATAGCATCACATAACCATGGTGATAAAAGACCTTTTTGGAAAACACTGCTATATATGAATATTTTATACTCCTGAAAACATGTGAATACATTTCAATGTCTCACAATAGTGGTCTTTCAAATCTAGATTAGGATCATTATTTTTATCTCACTTGCCACAAATGTCATTGGTATTACTATTCCTGTCAGCGTCATCAATCAGCACATTTTATAATAACTTCCTATAACAGAGTTGATTAGGTCTAATTTAATATAGATATGTATGTTATGCTATTGATATTTGGTATATATAGCTATTAATATTAATCAAGATATCTTGGTGGATTTTACCTTAAAAATGTGATGAAATTTAGATGTGATAAATTTTGTCAACGAACAGAAGCACCTTTCTTTTTTGATGAGAAAATTGTTTGTCAAGATTTCTAACCTATTCAACATATATTTGACTGGTCTTCCATGCCTTTTTGTTCCAATAATAAGTTACTGGTAGAGCTTAATTCCTGTAAACATGTTAAAACATCGGGATTCTGAAATTTACCGATCACCAACAGTTTAAATTTTAAGTTTTCCCAAACCATCAATGTTAAAAGCAGCCATAACAGTTAATCATTCTTTTGATTTTTTACCCCCGCATGTTTCACCTTTCATTTGAAGGGTCTTATTCAGCAATATTAGTTAATAAAAAGACAAGTTTTGTAAGCATTAAATATATTGGATGCTATGTAGTTTTGTATTAAATTAGGTAATTTATTTTGCAACCAATCTTCACATTTTATCATTGTCAACCTTCACCACTGATGGATCTGCAAACAATACCATAATGCTCTGGGTCCAAAAAAGTTGGAGCCTGAAAAAATGTCAGCTGCTATATTTTGTCTTCAGTCTGGAAAAGTGAAACCAATTAATTTGAATTTCTTATTAACTGTTCAATATTTAACTTTAAGTGATGATTTGTCATGCAATGTATGCCCTGACTGTTAGTTTATTTTTATCCCCCCGCTGTAGCGGAGGGGGCATTAAGTTTTACCCCTCATCCGTCTGTACATCCGTACGTCCGTCCGTACGTCCCGAAGTTGGTTTCCGTTCTCTAACTTTAGTTTGCCTCAACCAGATGTTATGAAACTTATACAAAATGCTTATTACCACAAAACACAGATCAAGTTTTAATTTTGGTGGCGTCACTGTACAGTCAGAGCTCTGACATAAACAAGTCAGAATAAAATGACTTCTTCAAGTCAGAAAGTGTTTTGAAATTCTGACCTGTACGCGTCAATTTTTGTTTTGCGTAGTTTTCACTCGAGTCCGTCAAACCAGAAGTTATTTTGAATTTGCCGCCGATCTACGACACATACGATCACGTGGTTTTTTGCAAGAGATCACGTGTTTGAGAGTCGTTGTTTTGGAAGTGTCTCGAACGAGAAGTCATTGAATATTATATTGATTATTTACGATTTTTAGTGAAAATCTAGGTCATTGTGGGCATTTTTAGAAAGGTAATTCATATTACCTCCGTATTTTCATGGGCATTTTTATATTTTTTGCCTATAAAGAAGTTCCTTGCAAGTGATTTTTTTGCTGTTTCATGAAGGCGCGCGACCTGTAAATACGGACGCGTGGTCTTTTAGATGACCTGGTGTTTGACAATTCTGACTTGTTCAGGTCAGAAAATGTTGTTATGATAATGAATTGTTATTTTCGGGAGATAACTCGTGTTGTCTTAAACAATATTAACATTATTAACCAGTCAGTGCAATTTAAAAAGTAAAATTATTGCTTCGAGCTGAACATCGTCACGTGATTTTTCTATTTTTAAACTCAATCACGAACTGATTTTTTAACTTTTCTGATTCGTTTCTCCCTATGAGAAAAACGATCATTGTGAATATTGATATGATAATGAAACGAAAATGGGAAAAATTTTAATAAAAGAAAAAGGAAGGGAGGGGTTTAACTAAAGAACCCAAGGGTTTTTTTTTTTATTTTTAAAGTTATAACTTGAGAACAATAAGTGATGCACACACCTGGTCTTCATTTATGGTCATGGGACATGATAAAACAAATCAAATAAAATGTAGGGCAAGTCTCCAGGGATCACCCCTATCCCTGTCATTTCTCTATTCCTCTTTATAATGTCAAATTGATTTGAGTGAAATATACCGGGCTAGAATCCAGGTTTACCCCCACCCCCTGTCATTTTCAAATGTTCTTATATTTTGTAAACGGTAGAGATCCCCACCCCTAAACCATATATATTCTTGTATGGGACAATTTAACAAATCAAATGATATGTTGGGGAGGTCCCTGGGGGTCACCCCTCCTGTTTGAAAACTTGTAAACGGTCGAGATCCCCACCCCTAAACCATATATTTTCTTGAATAGGACAATAAAACAAATCAAATGAAGTATAGGGGAAGTCCCTTGGGGTCACCCCCACCCCCTCCTGTGTGAAAACTTGTAAACGGTCGGGATCCCCACCCCTTAACCATATATATTCTTGTAAGGGTCAATAAGACAAATCAAATGAAATAAAGGTGGAGTCCCTGAGGGTCACCCCACCCCCTCATGAGAGAAAACTTGTAAACGGTCGAGATCCCCACCCCTACACCATATACATTCTTGCACAGGACAATAAAACAAATCAAATGAAATATAGGGGAAGTCCATTGGGGTCATCCCCATCCCCCTTTTTGAAATGTTCTGGATCACCACCCCTAAAGGTAAACCATATGATATTCCTGTTCGTCATTTCAAGACGATTTGAATGACATGCAGGGTCAAACCCTAGGCGTCACTTATGCATATCACTTTACTAGACAAAACCAATTTGTACTGGAACTTGCCCAATGTCAGGCAACCATGGGAATGACGAATTATGGGAGCTTAAATTTGTTTGGGAGACTTCGTAACAGCATCCTGTTACAATTATTTCTTGTTTATTTTAATCTGCTGAGAGACCACCTTTACATATTATATTTATCAGTGTTTGTGCAAACAGAATTGTCTATTCAGTATTATTTTCCTCTCACATGCATCACATCTTATTAATTACATGGATATAGGAAGATGTGGTATGAGTGCCAATGAGACAACTCTCCATCCAAGTTACAATTTATAAAAGTAAACCATTATAGGTCAAGGTACGGCCTTCAACACGGAGCATTGGCTCACACCAAACAGCAAGCTATAAAGGGCCTCAAAAAATTACTAGTGTAAAACCATTCAAATGGAAAAACCAACGGTCTAATCTATATGAAAAAAAAAAAAAAATTTGGCATATTTGTTTTCCCCACAAATTACACATCTATAATTCTTACCCCAGATGCTTAGCCACATGAAGCATTTACCTCTTATTTGAGACATAGATAGTCTTTGTTTCTACAGAAGTGAGAAGAACATTGGAAGTCAGAATGTTCTGACTTATAAAAGTCTGAATGTTCTGACTTAATAATGTCAGAAAGACTCAGAATGATCTGAAAATACTGACTTTTTTTAATGTTTAGAGTATTTTAGAATATGAATGCCCTTGTCATGCTAGTACCATAAGAAACCCTGACAAGATTTTGTTCCCAAACAACAATTTTTAAGGATATTAAGAATAACAAGTGTACAATGGAACATAAATTACAAAGTTATAAGTGTTGTGAAAAAAGCTATTTAAAAAAAAATCAATAGATAGTTATCTTTCAACTTTTACATGTATTTAAAAAACAGTGAAAATATTATGGATTATATGTACGGCTTCTTGAAGGACAACAAAGTCACCATGTTTGGTCTGAATTTGTATGTTTTTTCTCCTCAAATTTTTTTTAACATTATTAATGTCGGCTTTTTTCTTAACTAATTTTAAACATTCTTAATTATAATTAAATTTCCCCAACATTTTGCTTACAAACTCTTTATTTTCTAAAGTCAAATTGAAAGTTGTCTTCACAGATTCAATGTGTCTGAAAATGTTATATTGAAAAAACAATACTTTTATATCCTCAAATAAAATGGGTATACCATATGAGTTTAATGGTCATGCAGATATGCAATCCAGGATGTTAACAATCAGAGTTTAGATTACAGTCATATAGTAATAGGCAGATTTTTTCTTATATAATCAATAACCAGAGTAAAGATAATTGATTAATAGAGGTTTAGTTTAATATAAGTAATAAACAAAGCTAATTAATACACTTGCAATAACATACATGTAGTTAAATTAGTAAATACAGAATATTCATAAAAAATTCAGACAGAAATACTGTAATAGGTCAAGTCATTAGGGACGACATCAAAAGTTCAATATAGGATAAAAAACTTAATTCACATCACATAGTTTTTTCACTGACCCACCCACCCCCCCTCTTAACTTAATTTGGGAAAGATTGATTGACCAATATGGATTTGTGTAAAATCGATTTTGGATAAACAAAACTTGCAGCAACTTTAACCCCACCCCCACCCCCACCCCCAAACTATTTGATTTAAGTTTTTTTATCCTACATTGGTCTTTTGATGGCGTCCCTTAGAATGTGCTGACTTTGTACATGTTGTAGTGATAGTTATGGCACCCATACAACATATAGGAATCAGTCAAAAGGAGAGAAAAATTCCCGAAATTTGTCACATAGTGACATTTGTGAGTCGGAATAACAAAATATAGACTCATTAATCTCTCCATCTTTTCAAAAATTATGAACCAGATTTTATGCATATCCATTTAGTTTTTGACGGACTCTTTTAAGTCAGAACATGATTTGACCTGTTTGAGTCAATTTGCAGAACAAAATTTCCAATCAAAGCTATGTGTTCTTCCTCTTAGCCCCCTT